TGATAATGAACATGCAATCCCTTGAGAATTTTTTGGTTCCACTTTTCAGATCGATGCTGTAGATTTGAATTCAGAATTCACTTGAGTGTCACCTGAAACTTTGGGCGTCGACTTTGCTGTCGTTTTCTTTTTGCTTCAAGCTTTTGTTTCTACTTTTTGTTCAAGTGATCCTTGAACTACGTTCATGGGACAGACTCACTTTGGCACTCTCACTTTTATTTAAGGCAAACTATGCAAAGGAGTTTTGAAGTGCTTTAGGCGCCAACCACTTTGTACTAGAGACATCCCAACTTTTGGTTTCGAAGTCAACTTTGGTAGGATAATTGAAAAGATGCTGACTGAACTTTTCTGATCCTGGAATTTTGAACTAGTAGCTTGACTTTTTCAGTACTTTGCATGGTTATTCAACTTTGAAACATGCAAGGTTAATTAGTGCGACTTTAAAGTCACAGGGCTTTAAGTCAAGGGGTGCGAAATATCATGCACTTTTGTCCCCTCTTGCATGTTTACTTTTGTCATCATTACTTTGCCAAATACTTTGGCTCAAGGCTCATGTGCCTGGAGAAAAGGAGACTTTGCTGAGTTTTACTTAGGTTGGACTTAGTAGTTGGTTGGAAGTACTTAGAGTACTTTGGGTTTTCGCAAGCTCCCAACACGCGGCAAACAACACACGTAACGCCCTGCCTTAGCCACAACTCTCACCGGGCACTTGCACTCAGAGGTCTGCACTTTCGATCTGCACTGCCGCCGCCTGCGCAGAGTAAGTCAACATCGACTGGCAGCTTGCCCCTCTTTTCACTCAAACTCTGATGCTTGTTGGGCAACCTAGGCTGTCTCAACGTTATGTCATCAAAACTGAGACGAACATCTGATGATCAAAACCGAGACCAGTGCCGAGATCTGCACTTTCTCGCTCAAACTCTAATGCTCGCTGTGCTGTTGCCTGCTCAACTTCATTTTCTGTTCGCAAAATCGGATTCCGGAAGCAGTAGGGGGCCCTGCGCAGTTGGCTGGCCGGAATTCTGTGGAAGCCCTTCCATGCAACCTTTTTTCATCAAAACATTCCTCGGCGTTTGGGCTTCGTGTTGGCTTCAAGCGCATCGGTCTTCCGCTTGAGGAGAGCGTGCACGGATGGCGACGCTGCACAAAACCGCTCATCCGCCTTAGTGGTGGCCTTGACATAGATGCAGTGGGCACCTTGTGCCTTCACCGCCTGTGCCAGATGCTTGCTGGTGAAACGGTCAGCGAAGTCCACGGACCTGACGCACTGGTCAAACGGGGCGTCCGCCACGCGGCGGGCCACCTCCTTGGCAGCCGGGACCTCTTTTGGGCCGAAGCCGCCCTGCGCATCGATGCCGAAGAAGCGCAGGATCTCCTCCTCCTGACTGCGCAAAACAAAAAGGCGCAAAACTAAAAGGCTCAAGTCAACCCCGTCCTGCGCGCCGATGGTTGCGAGCCGGACCTCCTCGAAGGTCTTGGTCTGCAAAGCCTGCGCCAGGTCCTGCGGGGTTGGAAAGGCTTCGCAACACACCGAGCCTTTGCAAAGACAAGGCTGGAAAGACAAGACAATGCACCGGCCTCCAACTTGCCCACGTTGCCGCCGGAGAGGTGGAGGAGATCCGACTTGTGCTCGACGGCGGCGGCTCCACCGTGGTGCTTGAGGAACGTCTGGACCTGGTCAGGGAGAGCCAAACAAAAACTCCAAGGAACGCGCTCAGCAAACCCGCCTCCTCCTGCTGGCACTCTTCCTCGCTCAGCGGTTGGACCTGGAACCGAACTTCCCGGGCGTCCGCATCAAAGCTCAGGGCCATGGAGGCGCTGCTCGCCAACACGATGACTTTCGCCAATTCGGCGTCGTAGCCCCATGTCTTGGCGAAGCCAGAGCAACTGCGTACAACTGCCATGTCGCTGACCTCCCGGGGGATCTCCAGGATGACGATGGGCAGGCGGCTCAGCTTTTTTGCGGCCTGCTTCAAGGCCTCCTTTGCCTCAACGTCGCCGAGGGCACCCAGCTCCTGGCAAAGCTTTTCTCGTGCGACCTGCTTGTCGTCGGCGAGCTGCACGTGGACGATGCCCTCACGAAAGCCTGCCTGTTCCAAAGCCTTGAAGAGGGCAAAGCTCTTACCGGCCAGGTGGTTGCCCCAGATCAGCACGGGGGAGCGGTCATCCAGATCCAGCAGGCGCTTCATGGTGACCTAGCACAACAGGGTGAAACACAAAGCGACACGGATGCTGACGACTTGTGCATGACACCGGGCCTGGACCTGCTCGCGCGGGATTTCCACTTTGGGCTGGAAAGCGTGGAAGGAACTGTGGATCACGCGATTAACCATACGAGCGCGATCTTGTTCTTCTTGCCGGCGCTTCCAAGCGTCTAGCACAAAGCCACCGATAGCAGCACCTGCGCCTAGAGCTGGTACGCTACCGGGCACGCGGCTGAACATGGCTCTGATGCGCTGTTTCATCGCTGCTACAAGCCCAACATGACTTGAACACTCAGATTTCTGCGAAAAGAAAACAGGCAAAGAGCTGAGCTTGTTATTACTGCTTGCGAAGCACTCTCTGCCGGTGCCTCCAGGAACTGCGAGAGCTCCGCACAAGGCCTCGAAAGCGCGTACACAAAGGCCTTACACCGACTGCCTTTTCGAAGTCCAAACAGTCAAGCCTACCCTGGCTACACTCCACCAACTGCCGTCCCCACAGTCCCCACAGGCCTGCCGAAGGGGCGTTCGCAGAGCTCCACATGCTGCGGAAGAAGCAAAAGCAAACAACCATCACATGCAAAAATCCAGAAAATGCCCATGGTAAATCTTAGCCTTACCTGTATTTATCATAGTTTTAATATGTTTCAATAGTTCTTTTTGTTAAAATTTGTTAATGCATCATATATGGTTTTAAGTTGCAGTCTACGTACACCTTTTGCACATGTATGTGCCATCAGGAGAAACTGTGTACACTACACATTATAAATTGTGTTACATTCCATGTGCAGCATGCGATGTGCGAGACATGTTTGCCGGTACCTGGTTGACTCCAGAGATCCGCTTGAGCAAAGGTGTCTTGAATGCAGGGCATGAGAAGGCCTACAAAAGAAATAAGCTTGACTCAATCAACTGTAAAACTGATACAAATGTAGGTCAAAAACATGGCTTGACGAGTTAAGCGCGGTACTATCTCAGCCTGCGCATTATTTGTCAGCCTTTCAGGTCTGTAAAGCCACTGCAAAAGCACAGCTTCGCTCAGCCAAGAGTGCCCTTTGGGCACATTGCATTTGCAACGGTTGACTTCTACAACCGCCTTCAGAGTTCACTAGCTCACCTTCAGCCTTTCCTGGCCCGAGAATGGCTCGCATTGATGTGTTGTTTCCAGCATGAATCAACATGGGAAGAAAATGCACAAGCAATCTCCTTCAATTTTTCCACAGCCTTCTTCCGCCGTCCTTGCCGCGCAAGTTGCAAGCCTGAGTCTGCATCGAATCCAACACCGCATTTCTGAAGTCATCTTGCCATCTCGGGTTCCGTACACTTCGTCGCTATTTCCTTCGCACGCGGGACGCTCTTGACAATTTGCGCCTGTCATCTCCAAGGGCAGCTATGGTGATGTCCAAAGGCTTGTCAACACTCAATCCCAAACAAGTCTCTGAGACCTGATAACCACGCCACTTGATTTTGAAGCGCTTCTTCTCATCCACAATTCTTACCTGCGGTGGAGAAGTTTAACAAGCGCATCCTTCATTTGCAAGCAGACACTTGCAAGACTGAAAACCATGTGAGCATGTTGCAATCAGTTTGGAGGGTACGTTTTCTTTTGAAACCTACATGTAGACAACAGCTCTTACAGGAATCGGCACAAGCACAATTCCTCCCCGAAAGAGCTCAAGCTGAGTACGTAATGCAAATGCAGCACAGGCCAGGCCATCTTTTACCAGCTGCGGCTAAAACGCGTGAAAGGCTATGCCCCGCACCATTGCTTTGGCTGTCCCTTTTGTCTTCTTTGTAACCTTGCAGCCTGCTTCTGCTGAAGCCTCCTCCACTTCATGGCGCACTCGATATGTGCCAATCCATGTGAAATGGTTGGACTCATTGGGTTCAAAAGCGTATTACTGAAGGCCCAGCGCCTGTCTGAATATCTGAGGTGACACAGGTAGAGGAGGCGCTTCAAGGACATGTGCTTCCTCTGCGACAAGACATAGCTTGGGATGTGCATGCTAATCAAAGACAGCATTGCAGGTGTAGGCAGAAACCATCTTTCTCGCATGACTTGCGGATTTTTTGGATAGCGTGCTGCTTGTTTCATTCTTGGATGTGTGAAGCGTGCGGCACTGGCCCGCCTGATCCTGCTCCTCAAACTCTTGTTGGTTTTTCCTACCATCTACTTGGAGGAATGCACGCAAGGCGCAATTATTGCACTTTGTGGGGGTAAGAACAACAAAGACTCCGCACACAACTGAACTGCAAGACATCAGTCAGATAGGGAGGTGTGGCTTTGGCAAACAATTAGGCGACAGAACTTATTCTCGGTGTCATTGCATCTTATGTCTTGCTCGTTGGCAGTGACAGCAAGTTAGCCTGTTTCACTTTTCCGTGCCCATCCCCCACTCTCGCTCGCTCAGGAGGGTTCTTTGCACAACACTTGTGGGTCAGATTAGTTTTGGTGTACCTTCTTTGAGTGCGCGCCTTGCTTGCTTGGCAGCGGCTGCTCGGGCCTTTGCAACACTGCATTGGTTTCACAAATGCTGTCAATACGCCCACACAAGCCAAATCAAAACATTTTAGGTTCCGTGCTTTGAGGTGCAAGACCAAAAGCACGCAAGAGATCATGGCCAGACTAGTTCGCCCGTGCTAAAACAGACAAAAAGGTTTCAATGAATGGCATGTCCAACAGGCTTCAAACTAAATGATGTGTCGATGTGGTCTTGTCTAGTCTTGTCTGGATTCATCTGCCAATCTTGACAGCTGCCTTGCCGGACAACTTCTGCATAAACTCCTAGTTGATTTGTGCGGGGACCCTGCAAAATGCAGATGACACACTTGCATCAGCCCAGAGTACGACGCCCACTCCTTTTGTAAAGAGTCCTACACAAAACTCATGGTCAAGTATTTTTTGCGATAAACAAAACAGGCCAAAGAAACCAAGCAAGTCAGGATGGACAACAAGCCTACTCACCACTCTGCTTTTCATTGGCATAGAGCTGAGGTGCAAAGCGTGAGAACGAAAATAGACAGCCAAGGCCATGTGCATTTGAAAGTTGCTTTGTGCAAGTTCCTTGCATTGCACCCGTCAGACCGTGACAAGACTGCTTAGCAGCTTGCAACTGTCTTGCTGTCACGCCCAAAGGCCAAAACACAAGTGAAGAAAGTTGCGAAGGAAAGGCCCTGCTGGTTGAATCTAACAACAGCCATCTGTTTTTTTGAAATGAACTGCGAAAGTTTGCTTCAAATTCCGTGATGCCCCCAGTTTCTTCGAGCATGTGTACCACAAAAGACCTTGGTGTATCGCGTGGCTGGATTGGTCAAAGCCTCCGCATATACCTTTTTCTCAGGCACGTGCACAGAGCTTAAAGCAACAAATGACGTGACTGGCACTAGAAGATTCAATCCTGAATTGTTGGTGTAAGATCTTCTTTTGCATTGAATTCGGCTCACAGCTTTGCGCTCACCACCCTTGTCTTATTCACAGAAGCTTTGCGGTCAGCGGCAGGAGCCTGTGATGACGGCATGCGCTGACATGTTGCTGCGCGAAGAAAGAAAAACCAACAGCTCAAAATGGCATCTGAGCACTCAACGCCAAATCCATGACGGATGATGCTGCGCACAGCATCCAGAACCTACACTGCTGAATCCTTTCAGAACACAGCATTGAGGGTGTCACAAGAAACGGCAACTACCTGGAAGTATTCTTTGGCGAC